AGGAAAAAATGAATTATTTTATTTATTTATTTGTTATTGAGTTGGTTCTAAATCTTCCATGAAATTCCTAAAAAAATTTCACTTAAAGAAACTGCTTGGCAAAAGATATTGTAGTATAATATGGTATATGTGTAAATTCAGTTGGCTCCTCTCCACCACCACTACTCTAGTCTGCCCTAAAAAAATCTTAGATAAATCGCACATAAATCCCCTCATTTTATACCTTTAGTTGCACGAAATCCCTGCAATCATTTACCAGCACTTAGCATGCTTGAGATTCCATTTTTAGATGGATGAATTACATGTAACGCCCCTCTTTCTCATGAATCGAAGGGGGTTTAGTGCTAATAAATGAGTTTTTTCTTTGTTTTTTTGCTGGGTATAGATGAGGGGGTTTATGTGCAATTTACTCAAAAATCTACTATTTCTTCCTTTTAACAGTGGTGACCTGAGATTACATACTGTACTATTTCTTTCCTTCAACAGTGGTGACCAGAGTGACATACTGTTGATTTGTTCCTTTTTATGTATACTAGTATAATGCACATGCTTTGCATGTGGACATACTATTTTTATCCTCAATTCTTTTTCTTTGAGTGCAAAACTATAAAGTGGCTTTTGTAATAATATAAATTCTTAAATTGAATAATTAATAAATCTTTACATTAATAAATTAATAAATAAAGTTGTGTATAAAGAATTATATGAGTAATTTTTACATCTTGGGTAATTATTATAATAGGTTTTATGCACGTGCATCGCACGTGGTCAAATACCATGATTAATTATACTTAATTTATTTCCTTACTAAAATTTATTGCTCCGTTCTACTTGATAGTTTTTGCTCGCTTATGTCTCTAAATTTTAACATTGTGATTATTTATTTTCTTTGATGTTTATTTGAATGAGTTATATTGAATTTAAATTTTCATGTTTATAATTGAATTGACATGAACCAAATGTAATCCAAAGTTAATTTGAATTTTCATATTATTTAGATCGACATGAAACCAAGCTTGACTTGAGAAAGTATGGTGTTATGAAAGTTCAAAACACTTGAAAAATAACATTATAAAAGGAAGATGAATAATTAAACCCAATAAGCCAAGATGATTAATTAAAAGTGGGCTGGAAAGAAACTAAAGAGGATATAAAGTTTGTTTCTAATCACTGATAGACCAAAAAATTATAAACTAAAGATTAATGCTAAATCTAGTATATTTTTATATGATAAAACATCCATATAAGCATATAAAAATACTAAAAAAGTTTATGAAAATCTCTTCTAAAGATTCTTAATTTTACTCAAAAAACTTAAACTATTTTATAAAATATTCAGAAACCAGATCTTTTATTCATTCTGTTTCATTTTATTATTGAGTCGAGAAAAATTCTTTTCCACCTTTATCCTTTTTTTGGGCAAGCCTAGAGTTGTGTCTTTACCATCTACATCAATTGTGACATTAGGCTAGAGCTAGATTTCTTTTGGTATTATCTTTCACTTGGCTCGTTTATCTTTTATCTTCTTGTCTTACTTCACAAGAAAGTTGAATGCATTTTCGATATTTAACACAAACTTCTGAAAATACAGACTTTGATTATTTTTCTGTTCAATGAGAATAAATGTTAATTTTATGTATACGAAACTTTTTTGTTTTTAATTTATTACTTAAATAAGATTAGGAGCTACCTATTTTTATTTATAATGAATTCTTCTATTATGCATCCAATGAGAGATTCTGCTATGTCAAATAATATTACCTTAGCTCTGTCCTTGTCATTTTCTGAGAGAATTTGAAATAAATAACTATATTTTTTATTGTTAATTTACTTTAGATTATAATATTAATATTTAATTTTGATATGTTTATTTCATGAGAAAGGGATAGAAATCTGATGGTGCTATTATATATTTATCTTTGATCGTGTCTTCAAGAATTAATCCTTCGTTGGTAATCATATCCCCAAATGAAATTATACGCCGAGTCATGCTACTGTATAGGAAAAAGAAAAATGTTGATTTTAAATTTTTTTAGCTTATGCTATATGAAACAAGTATCATGTGTACATCTTTTGCCCATTATAAGAATTTACCTCCCTCCTCTTATCTAGCTTGTTATAACTTGTAACATAGTTGATTAATGGCTTTAGTTTAGTTTCTAATGCAAGATTTTCATGTATGTAATTTTATATTACTTTTATGATTGCTTTAGTATTGAAGAATAAGGTATGAAAATTTATAAAAACTTACTAATTTTTCTTGTATCTTTCATGGAGAATGCTTATTTGATTGAGATAAACTTGTTCATTATGTTCTTTAAGAGGAATTCAATCGATGCTTCTTTGGTATATATGGCTTTTGTCAATGTCAATTCAAGTGATTCATGAACGTTTTCGGATTTTGGATTTATTTCCTTCATTTCTCCATTTGAAATGAAAATATCTTGATTCTTTTTAAGGATATCTCTAAACTTTCTGATAGTTTTTCTATACATAACTTCTTATATTTTAAACCCTATAAATATTATTAAAATCAGAGATCAATGTTTAGACATTATCATCAATTAATGATAAGCTATTATATTAGTCCTTTATCAGTTTCATATAACATAGTCTTCTATCAATTAATGTTATTACTAAATTTGTATGCAATTCATTTAATTTATACAGTGACGTTGATTTTTAATCTATCATATATTTTTCTAATTTTTATATCTTAACTGGGCATTTTTAATCTATTGTTATTGCTATTTTTTACCAGCATCACTTTAGACTACTTTGAGATGCTAAAAAAGGATAATAAACTTTAAATTGAAAGAGAAAAACTAATAGTTCATATAAGGTTATAAGAAGAAGGAAAAATTGCTTCAAGGCCCCAAAATCCAAAATGTGATGTGCCCCAGCCCCTCATACTATTTCTGATGTGCTGCAGCCCCCAACTTTTGTTAAAATTATGTCCCAACCCCTCATGCTCATAATTATCCCATTTTTATATGTTTTTAACCCAAGATCCCAACTTTACCCCTCCCCATTTCTTCTTCAATCATCTCCCCTCCAACCCCAGCCCCCTCAATCCCCAAACACCAAAAAAATTTGTGGTGCTTGCCAGCAGCGCGCTCGCCTCGAGGTCCTCCTTGGCGGCGACGACGGGTCGCTGGCGTTTGGTGGGCGTCCTACTCGGTCTCCGTCTAACGCCGTTTGGTGGGCGTCCTACTCCGTCTCCCAGCGCTTGGATCTGGGGAGGCATCAGATATTACTTCAGTCACTTCGCTTGTTACCGAGGGTTCGGGCCGAGATGGGCCGAGATGTCGCTGTCGGCAATGATGATGATCACGACCTGCGAGTTCTTGAAGTGGTTGTCGGCCAAGGATCGGGATTTCTCCTCCATCTAAGAGATTTTGATTTTGATTTTTAGGGAGAGAGGGGGGCATGAAAAGTTTAGGGAACGAGAAAGAAAATTAGATAGAATGCAATGTTTTATTTGTTTATTTTCTTTCTTTACTTTGGGTTTTCATATCATATCATGGTTTGTTTGTGTACACTGAAAGAGAAAGGCTTGGTGGTGTAGTATTAAAGCTTTAAAATGAACGACAGTTTGGTGTAAAGTCCAAAGTCTATTCATTTGGGGATTTTTTGGGGTTGGATTTTTTTTTAATTTTTGGGTTTTTTTTTTTGGGTGGAGTTTGATGTTGTTCTCTATGCAGTTTGATTGTTGTTGATATTGTAAATTGTATGGTGGGATTTTGGGGATGCATTGTGGTCATTGTTGTTAGTAAGTGGTGTTATTTGTCGTGTAGTTTATTATACACATAATGTACAAACTATATGTAGTTTATATACATAGGCAATTTTTGTTGGCTTGAAAATTATATGCAGTTTGTACATGATGGTTGATAATTGAAGAATAAAAACCTACATACAAAAATAATCATTTAAAATAATGGATGTATAAATGTTAAGTTTTACCCAATACAAGTGAACTATAGCAAATTAACTGTTAACGTTTACATGTTCCATGTTAAGTATAGTGGAGTAAGTGTTAACTTTTTCATTTTAAATGTTAAGTTTTGTTAATTAGTTGTTAAGTTTTACCCATTACATGTAAACGTATATCCCACAGTCATAGCTACAAATAACAAAACATAAATACATATTACAGGTCAATTTTGAATGTTGTTATACAAAATTAAGATATTAAGGAAGAACGGTCTTTAACATGTGAACATGGTTCAAGTTCATATAGTTAATATTTTAACCACAATATTTAGCATGTTAACTGTTGTGGTTAGCATGTTAACTCTTGTGTTTAACATGTTAACTCTTGTGGATAACGTGTTAACTCTTGTGGATAACATGTTAACTATTGTGGCTATATGTTAACTCTTGTGGATAACATGTTAACTCTTGTGGATAACATATCAACTCTTGTGGATAACATGTTAACTCTTGTGGCTATATGTTAACTCTTGTGGATAACATGTTAACTCTTATGGATAACATGTTAACTCTTGTGGCTAACATGTTCACTGTTATGGTTAACGGTTGTTTTTAATATGTTAACTATTATGGTTAACATGTTAACTATAAGAGCTTAGATGTTAACTAATTATATGAGGATTGGTCTTACGCAGAAATATGTAGATACAATCTCATACTGCTTGTTTAAGGCAGCGTTCTCCTGCAACTGTAACCATTACCGTAATCTATCTAAGATGGCCTCTTTTACTTTGTCATCGAGTCTTCCCCCGCGGAACAAATACAGTAGTTCCGGGTATGTAATTGTGCTGTTATCACTAACGATGACATCGACATACATTAAAAAGCAATAAGTTACGGAGGGTTAAAATCTAAAACATGAAAGCTAACATGTTAACTCTTGTGGATAACATGTTAACTCTTGTGGCTAGTTTGTTAATTCTTATGGCTAACATGTTAACTCTTGTGGATAACATGTTAACTCTTGTGGCTAACATGTTAACTCTTGT